CCCCCCATGTATTGCCTCGAGTTGGTGTTACCCTCTGCTCCAGGCAGGTCCAGGACTGCTGCCCCATTGCAGCCTTGGCACCGCTGGCCCGAGGGCTGCAACGGGAGCGTGAGGCTCGTCCCGCCGGGAGGGCGGCCACGGCCTCCTGCCTGCGCGGATTTCTGGGCTGCGGCCCCTAGGAGCAAACGTATAGGCAGTGCTGAAGAGGAACGTTGTCTTCGTGTTATCTTTCTACTTTTTTTTTTTTGCCAGAGGTTGTAAAAATGAAACTACCTGTCACAGAAAGCTTAAACCTGGGGCTAGGAGCATGACACTGAGCCTTGGTCTTCGCTGTGGATGGTGCCCAAGGGGGAGAGAGGGCGAGAGAGCAGCCAGAATTCCTCATGGTGGAGCGAAACTGTTCGGCTTGCGTTTCCTGCACTGCTGATTATTCAGGTTATAGACCCCAAATGGTCCTCACATTTGCACGTGTTCYTCCTAGAAGGATCTGTGACCTTTTTTTTCCGAGCAAGGTGTGTTTCRTGTTTCCATAGGAAGAGCTGCACTTACATAAGGGTACACGTGCACTTAGCTATACTTACTTGACCCCAGCACAAGAGTGTTTTGTTGCCATCGCAGGGTGTGCATCCTCAGGCCAGCTTGCAAACTCTGTATCCAATTATTCCCACCCTACAGATGGATATCTGCGGTACAAGGGAGCTTAAATGATTCAGCCAAAGTACACAGGAACTGTTTGGAAATCAAGGAATTCCTGTTCCATCCCCACCCCTTGTGATCTCAGCTTTGCCTTCATCTGCATCCATGCTCTTCCAGAAATAATGCCGTGATTGATAAATAAAATGTGCTCCATTTGGGTGCTGTTCAGCAAGGAAGCCGAGGTGCTCTGCTCATYCTACTGTTCTCTTTTTAATCTGCACAAATAAGTCTTTAATCAGAAAAGTAAAGATATTTCCCCCCYTCTCTGGAAGGGCCTGGGAGTGCAGACATGCTCGTGCTGCCGCCTCTCTCCTCCCCTCCTTCCCTCTCAGAAGTTTTCTAATCAAAAGCGGATAGCAGATTGGGACAGTGAATCCCGACGAGGCTTCGTGTTGGGAAATACATGGAATGCCGGCAGGCTTTCGCAATGGACGGGCCCCAGCAGCCTCCCTGCCCTCGCTGGCCGCGGCCTCTCCCACGTTTAATTGCTCCTGCACTTTTCCAGGAGCAATCCCGGCTTGGCAGCTCCTCTGGGAAGGGCCTGTGCCCCCTGTAAGCAGAAATGTAAGGGAAGCTCCAGCTGCTTGTCAGTAGTTGAGGCTTGTCCTGCCTTGTCATGGGTGCAGGGGGATGTTAAATTCTTGGAGTTTTCTGGCAATACAACAGTATGGCTTGATGTTGAAGAGCTTTGAAATGACTTCGGGCAGAGACTGTGTTCTCCAGTGGTCTCGGTGCCAGAGCAAGGATCAGGCGAGGGGATTCCGAGGACATCTCAGCATCCCTTTACCCTAATCTGCAGCACTACACAAGGTATTTTTCAGGTCAATGCCTGGCTGTGCTAGCAGGACGGGTTAAACAGAAACATTTCTCTGCCTAAGCCAGCGCTTCGGGATGTTGTTTCTGCTCTGCTGAAGATCCCCAGCTTTTGGCCGCAGACCCAACACCGAGTCCATTATCCCAGCATTTTATGTGGCCTCATGGCGCAAAATATTTGTCCAGCTTCCTCTGACTTCCCTGAGTCATCTGTAACCTTTCCAGCAGCACAGGGATCTTTCCCTGGGGCATTCCCATGCGGATAGGGCTGCTGGCCGTGCTCCAAGGGCCCAGGACGCCCTGGAAGGGGGTAATTCACCCTCCGGCTGCCTCTGCTGCTCCAGCAGCTTCTTCCTGCAGCCAGAGCCACTGCAGGAGGAGGAGAAGGAGATGGAGGAGGAGGAGGAGGGTGCAGTTACTCTTCCTCCCTACTGCTTTAACACTCAAACCAATTTGAAATACTGAAAAAATACTGAAAAAAAAAAAAAAAAAAAAAAAGGAAAAGAGAAGCTTTTGAAGGAAAAACACAGGCGATGGAATCAGATTTCTCTCCCGTCTGATCCAGTTATTATTCAGATATTTGGAATAGTTCGCATAATGTTCAGCTCAGGTTACACAGGAAGGAGATAAGGCAATCATAAATATGAAGCTGATTTAAGAGATAAAGAGGCATTTATGCTTTGAGAGGGCCAGGCAGAGGGAAGAACGAGTTCTACAGTATCACACGTGGAGCGTTTGGAGAGCTTGGTAGCTCGTCCTTTGCAACACCGTTTAATATTGGAAAATCCCTAAATACACCAAATAGATTTGGGGAAAACAAGCCCGTGTTTTTCTGCCCATATCATGCCTGTAGGTTCACGTAGGCTGCGTAGAACACGTTTCCCAAACACCCAGCTGTTAATATTGGGGCTAAAAAAAGGCAGAAACCCTTTGGGGGCTGCAGCCTCCAAAGGAGCTGGGCAGCCTCCAAATCCCATSTAACGCCTGCGGCGAAAGCTGCGAAGTCAAGGGCGAGATTCCCGTTTATGTCCCGTTCATGCCACGGAGCGGTGGGTTTCTGCCCGAGGAGCAGGGAGCGGGTCCTGCTGCCGCCCCGCGAGCAGAGGCCGCCGGCGCGCGGGGCCTTTCGGGCAGGGGGGCCCCGCTGCTTCAGGGACCTCGCAGGGAGCAGGGAACGCACCAGACCCGGCAGATCCCTCCGGAGCGACGGCCCGGGGGGGTTTGGCAGCGGGATGCGCCGGGGCTCGGGCCCAGGCTGCTCCGGGGCTTCTCGCAGGGCGTCTTTGCGCCCTGSGTGGTTCTGGCCGCACGGCGACAATCCATCGATCCCGCTGCGAGCTGAGCCAGGGCCCGGGTCAGGAACACGTTGCTGTTGCTGCAACGAGCCTCCGTCATAGCCCTGTGCTGCTGCTGGGAGCTGSAGGCTTCCCCTTTCCCGGCAGGAATAACACCAGCTATTCCCRTCACTGAGCAGTGACTCAGTGAGCAGGGCCGGCCCTGGGGACGCGGCTCAAGGGAAAAGGGCGGCAAAGGAACCGCCGGGAGGAGGCGTGAGGGCTCGAGCCGCTTCCCAGGTTTTCATCCCAAAAAGGATTTTCCAGCATATTTGCAATCACCTCTTCGTGTGGGCAGCCTTGCCATGACACAGCATGGGCGTTTGGGGCATCTGGGGGATCTTCTGCATAGGTGGGTTTTAAATTACACAGAAGAGGAACCTCTGCACTGCAGCCCCGCAGCAGCRAAGAGCCGGTTTTGTTTCATTCCTCAGTGCAGCCAGAAGCAGCAAGAGCCCGGAGAAATGCAGAGCCTGGATGAAATAGGTGTGTGTAACACGGAAGCGGCCGGGAGCTTCCGCAGTGACAAGCGCCTCTGCACAGCCYGAGCGCTGCAGCCCCGGAGAGCTCCAACGGGGCCGCCGTGTGGGGCGCCCCACGGGCACGTTCCCCGTGTGGGGCTCGAGGAGAGCAGCCCAGGGGCCGCAGCAGGAGGATGTTGCCAGCAGGTCGAGGGAGGGGATCCTGCCCCTCTGCTCAGCTCTGGTGAGGCCAGAACTGGAGCACTGGGGGCAGTTTTGGGCTCCCCAGGACAAGAGGGATGTGGAGCTTCTCGAGAGGGTCCAGCGGAGACTGASAAAGATGGTTAAGGGACTGGAGTGTCTCTTGTTTGAGGAGAGACTGAGTTGGGCCTGTTCAGCTTGGAGAAGAGAAGGCTGAGAGGGGATCTGATCAATAGGTGTAAGTTCATAAAGGGGGAATGTCAGCAGGAAGGGGCCAAGCTCTTCTCAGTGGTGGCCGGTGACAGGACAAGGGGCAGTGGGTGCAAGCTGCACCACAGGCAGTTCCATCTCCATGTGAGGAGGAACTTCTTCCCTGTGAGGGTGCCAGAGCCCTGGCACGGGCTGCCCAGGGAGGTTGTGGAGTCTCCTTCTCTGGAGATCTTCCCAACCCGCCGGGATGCCGCCCTGTGCCCCGTGCTCTGGGTGTCCCTGCTGGAGCAGGGGGTTGGACTGGATGATCTCTAGAGGTCCCTTCCAACCTCAACCAGCCTGTGATTCTGTGATAAAATCTGCTCAGAGCCAGCTGATCTGCATCCTGCAGGATGGAGCCGAGCGCAGAGATGAGCAAGCTGACRGCAAACGCATCTTCATCCTTTTGTTTTGTGATGAGATACATGAGATTCTGTTGTGGGAGATGCACAAGGTTTGCATCTTGCCCCCAAATGTTGCAGCAAGAGCATATAATTCATGTGTAAGTGCTCTGTAATTCCTTACGAAGGTGCTGTAGAAGCATCATCCATCAAGGGTAATTTGGCTGGACCCAATTTACTGAAAGGCYCCCCAAAGGAAGTTTTGATTTTGCTGTTCGACCTAATTCTGAAAACAAGGAAGAATCCAAGCGATCACTCAGGTCTCTAAATTGTCTTTTAATTCCATGTAATTTAAAATAACAACAACTCTATAATGAAAGGAGGCATGAACTAGTTTGATAAAGTAAGTGACAGTGTTTGGAAAACAGCTTTGGAATTAAACTCGGAATTTCAGAATTAAAATTTGAAATTAAAAATAAAATTCACCCCACACAGCGAGGTGTGAGGAGAATTTTAGACCTGAAGATCTAATATACAGTTAGAAGGTGTGGAGTGAAATATTGTGATTGTGTTCTCCGGAGTATCTCCAAAGCAAATTTCCAGCCCTAAATAGCCTGCTCTTTTGTCAGGTGCAGAAAATTCCCTAGGAGAGACGGTTCATGTGATCCCCTTTTTCCCCAGCCTCAGCAGGAACAGCCAGTACCAGAAATCCCATAAAAGCGTCCGCTTGCGCGATGTGATTTCCAGAACCCTCGCGGGTGTTCTGTTCAGCCGCCGGGATCCGGAGTTATTCTTGGATTGTGGAGTGTGCGAAGCGGCACCGTGCTGACCAGAGCGCGCTCTTGTTTTCCAGCTCGGTGGAAAGCTCCGTCCTGGCCGTGCGGACATTGGCTCCAGGTTCCAGCGGGACGGCGCAGCACGGACATGGCCTCCGTGCCAGGTGAGTCCCCACGTGCCAGCAGCCCCCGCTACCCCCTGCTTCCTTTTGCCTTGCCAAAATCCAGCCAGACCTGCCCTGGTTTCCACCTGCCCTCCTAAAGAACAGGAGTGGATTTTGATGCTCTTCCGTATTCTGGCTCGCAGGCGGTGAGTGGTGGCTGAGGAGGCCGGATTTGCCGCCGTGGCTGCCAGGGATTCCTCTCTTCTCCGTGTTTTTCAGGCGCCTTTGYGAGCCGGAGCGTACCTGTTGAAGTGGATGAGTCCGTGACATGGTCCCCATTTGCCGGAGGTGCCTTGGAAGAGGCTTCGTGCCCCTCRGGAGAGCACGTGGAGGACGAGGAGCGCCGGGAGCCGGGAGCTCGGGCGCCGCAGCCCGACACGGGACCGTCGTGTCCCTACGGATCGGCACCGCGTCACCCCCCTGCGCTGCCCCATGGAGGAGCCTCGGAGCTGGACAGCAGGTTGTGGTCCAAGTACACGGATCCCAATGAGGATGGGTGCCTCTCTTCCCCGGGGGAGTCAGTCGCTGGGATAGTTCCCTCCAGGGYGCAACTTTTGGCTCTGGAAAAAGCAGGTGGGCATCTGGGACGTCACCTTTCGGCTGCCCGCGGGCCCCGTTGCAGCGAACGGAGCGAGAGCCTGTCCCACACGGCGGAGCGTCTGCTGGAGGGCAGCAGCCAAGGGAGCTCCCCGCAGCCCTCCCAAAACAGACTCCCCGCGGAGCTGGCGCCTGTGGATTCGGGATGCAATTCCCAGGCACGGGACATCATGGGCATCAGGCACCTGGAGCCGCCCTTGCCCCTGGTGTCCGTGCTGAACCCCCAGGACCTCCCGGGACCCCTGATCTCCAGAGAATTTTATGGACCTGAGCACCAGCAGTGTCCCCTGTGCCAGCGCTCGCCCCATCCCAACGCGTCTTCCCAAGCTCACGGCTGCTTTGGGCACTRCTGCCCCATGGAGCAACACCCGCTGCACCCATGTAAGTGACACCGCTCGCCCCGTGCCGGGTCTCCCTGGGGCGTCCCTGATCTCGGTGACCGCTCTCCAAGCTGGAATACTCCTGCTCTGCTTCCTTCACAGCCTGCAATTGTCAGCATTTCAGAACATTTATCTGCGAATGCAATGCGATATTGCAATTTTTTTATACATAATTCCAGAACTAGGGCCCTTGCTGATGCAGAACCTCAGAGCCAGGCAGGATCTTAAAGCACTCACGGTTCCTCAGCAGAGGAAGGCTGGTGTCCTTACCTGGGAGCTCTGTGCTTGCAGTCCCACACCAGGCGCACGCAGCCTCCTCCCYGCTGTTATTTCATATTCTGGTCGTTTCCCTCCTCCCTGCCTCAGTCGTTCAGCAGCCTCCTGGACTGACTGAATTCCTGCCGTTTTCATAGGTTTTCTTGCTCCCACTTGGATCCCCAAAGTAGGTTGAGCATTTCCTGCCCAAAACAGGACGGATCCTTTGATCTCTGTAAATAGCGTCTACCCGCATTAGGGCCAAACTAATCCATGTATTTTATTTCTACTTGAGGAAAAAAAAAAAAAAAAGAAAAAAGGAAGGCATCACATCCATCACCTGCGTTTTTCCTCCTGCTAGCTAAAATGAAAGCTCCTTGCCTCAAATGGAAGCTCCTTGCTTCAGCTGCTGGTGGCCGTATCCCTGACGTGACTCAGTCCATAGGAGCCTTTTGGCTCCGGGAGCCCACGGAGCAGTTTACAGCTGCTGTTAATCAGTATTCCTTTCCAGTCGCAGAGATTTTTATCAGCCGTGAAGTGAGCTTTGAACATTCGACAGCAATATCAGTGCTTTGATGAAATTCATATTAYGGGAGAATCAGGGGGCCCCCTCCCAGCTTGGGGCTCGCTTTGTGGTCAGAGGCTGCAGGCCTGTCCCGAGGGCCTTTTAATTTGTTTGTTTGGGGTGCTCCGTGGGCACCCCAGCATTTTGACTGCGTCTGCTGAAGGGTGCTGTCGATCCCGGCCGGGGTGCCAGGGCCTCGGCTCTGTGATCCTGGGGGTCTCTGTGCTGGGCAAGGGGCTGGCGCCAAGCGGAGCCTCCTCCTCCCAGCCGGGCTCCGGCCTCGCGCACGGGAGCCGCCGGCCCCACGGGGGCTGCCCCCCACTGTGGGACATGACACGTGGGGCTGAGCGAGGCCGTTGGGCTAAAGCAGAAGCTCCGAGGGGCTCCCCTAGGAAAATCCGCCGGCGTTTGGACGATGCCCAGAGGGCAAAGAGAGCGACACAAGCTGGGATGTGGCCAGCACCAAGTCGGCAGCCTCCTGTTTCTCCCGTGCCCGGGGCTGCCCGAATCCTGCCCTGTCGTTCAGCAGGCCCAAGGCCCAGCACCGGAGCGGTTTGTATCCGCTCACGGCGACGGAAGCGYCGCGGCCTCCCACGGATCCCCACGCAGCAGCAGCCTAAAGAGCCCTACACCAAATGGGATCATCCCAGGGCCCGGCAGTTTTCCTAGGGCTGGGCCTGAGGAGCAGCACCAGTGGCCACATTTGTGTTGAACCCGTCCAGTTAGTGACAAACAGCGGAGAGGGAGGGGAAGAAAAATCTCCCACAACAATCCCAGCAAACCGGAGGCTGCCTCAGCCTTTTAGAGCTCTGCTTCCAGGACTTGGGTGATTGTATTAAAGCTTTTCTTTTTACCTTTTTACTTTTTAAAAAAAGTCCTCATGGCTGCTAGGAAAAGGAAAATATGCCCCCAAAGCAGCTGAAAGGAATTAAAAAAAAACAATTTGGGGGGAAAAAAAAGAAAAAGGAGAGTGTTTGAGCACTGGAGCCCTCGGAAGCAGCTCCCAGCGCCGCAGCCGGCAGCGCTGCTCCTGGCAGGCCCTGCCGGTCCGGCCTCTGCTCTCCGCCCCACTGGTGCGCAGAGCTGCCGGCCCACATGTGCACAGAGCAGGAGGAGGAGGAGGAAGAGGAAGAGGAGGAGGAGGAGGAGGAGGAAGAGGAGGAGAGCTTCCCCTTCCCCTGTCCTGCTGGGACGCAGCAGCCCAGGCTGCCTCCCGCTGCCCGCGGTGCCACCGAGCGTTGGCTCCGAACCGGCGCCGCGATGCCCACGGCAGCGACACTTCCCAGAGCTGCTCCAGCTGAGGTCCCATGTGGGCACCAGGACCAGCAGCAGGGCCCCAGGAGGCCGCCTGGGCAGAAGATCCCAGCGGAGGGAGGTCACAGAGCGAGGGATTTTTTTTTCCTTTTCTCTTTCCAGCTGCAATAATCTGTCTGTTTAGCCTTGGTGTTGCAAACTGATTCGTTCCAGGTTTTTTTCATCTGCTTTCATGAGAATGCTGGATGATTCATTTTCTCGAGTTATTGCCAAAAAAGAAATTAAAGAAAGAAAAAATCGAGGCATGTTAAGTGCAGGGACAAAGCAGCCCTCCACATTTAACTGTCAGTTGTCCCAGCAGTCCAACCCACAGTGGGAAGCTGAACCSTGTCATATGTGAAAGGGAAATAGGAAACTCCAGGCTGTAAAAACTTCCCTTAATCTTTCCCTCTTTCAAGCCGCGCACCCTGCGCCCGCCTCAGAACTGCTGCAGCTTCCCTGCAAATCAAGGAGGACGGGCCTGGAAGGTGCTCAGCCTAAGCCGAGGCGGGAGCTTAGCGGCCGAGCTGATGGTTGCTGCTGTGCTCGTCTCGCCCTCGCAGGTGCCAGAGGCCGCTTCCAAGAGGGTGCCCGCGCGTCCCAGCCGCTTCCCGCCGTGCCGGCGCCCTGCGTGAGAGTCATCCGCCCGGCGCAGCGAGTCCTGCCCAACTGCTCCGGCCTCCGCGCCCCCAAGGGCGCCCCGGAGCGGCCCTGCTCCAACCCTGCTCCGCCGCGATTCCCGTAAGTGAGAGTCCTCAAGGCTGGAAGGGGCCTCTAGGGATCATCCTGTCCAACCCCCTGCTCCATCAGGGACACCTGCAGGGACACGGGGCACAGGGCGGCATCCAAGCGGGTTTGGAAGGTCTCCAGAGAAGGAGACTCCACAGCCTCCCTGGGCAGCCTGTGCCAGGGCTCTGGCACCCTCACTGTCAAGAAGAGTTTCCTTAAGTTCCTGTGGAACTTTTGGTGCCTCAGCTTGTGGCCGTTTCCTCTAGTCCTGTCACTGCCCACCACTGAAAAGAGGCCGCCCCCTCCTCCTCACTGCCTCCCTTGAGGTATTTATACACGCTGATCAGGTCCCCCCTCAGCCTCCTCTTCTCCAGGCTGAACAGGCCCAGCTCCCTCAGCCTTTGCTCACWGGGCAGATGTTCCAGGCCCCTGATCATTCTCAAGTTGGGCCTGCTGGAAGCTCCTGTGTAACATTTTGGAGGTTTTYACCCAGGAATTCTGAGGCTCTTGCAATGCCCTGTGCCTGCCTTGCTGGGGCACGTGTGTAGTGCCGGCTTGTTTCATTTACCCGCCGTTCACACGCAGCGGGGGCCTGACCCGGCCCCCGAGGAGCTTCAAAGCTGGCTACCCGATATGCTGTTGCAGGGCACGTTAAGACCGACAGATACTTAAAGGTTAAAGGGATGAGGGCGGAAAATATCTCAGTGGAAACCTTAGAGCTGCCCTGCCCCACAGCGAAGGTCAGCTCGGGCAGGCCGAAGCCGCGCGTGGTCAGCACATCCCAAAGGTGGCCCCTTCCATCGGAGTGCCAAAATACTGGCAAAGGGGATAAACTCGGAGGCACCCGTGCTGGGAAGTGCTCACACGAGTGACACGGCCCTGGCAGAAAAGGGAGGCAAGAGGCAGAACCGGCAGCGTAACGRGGCAGCTGAGAGCAACGCTGCGCTCCCCTGGCCCCCAAATTCATGGGCTGTGACAGAAGAGGAGCATTAAGGAAAGGCAGTGGCTGCAGCAGAGCTGCTTGTGCTGAGGAGGCAGTTTGAAGGCACAGAAACGCTGAGGAATTGTCAGTATCCCTGGAATTAGTAAAATTCAAAATAGGCCTCCTTGTTTTTGACGTTTGTTGCATCAGGTGACAATGTGGGAAGATCCGTAAATGAACCATGGGGCAATTTGGGGGTGTTTGATGAGGTTTGTGCTGCTTTTCCTGGTGCTTTGCTCCTCTGAGGGACCTTCCTAGTGACCAGGAGCTGCCCTGCAGCCAGGTGCTGGTGTTCCCATGCTGCTTCCAGGAACAGCAGTTATATGATGGGAATATTTGCCTATAGAGGATTTCGTAACAGAAAACATCTGTACCAAAATGAATAAAACAAATCTTAATGTGACAACAGCAAACATGCTGTGACCAGCCTGTCATCATTCATTTAAGAAAGGCAAAGGAAAAAAAAGAGAGGGGTCTTGATTGACTAAATATCACTGCTCTGTGGGGAAAAGCTCTCAGGGAAACCCAGCCCTCGGCCGCAGCTCCAGCCCAGCAGTTCAGATCACACCTCATTGAAAAGTCTTTGTAAATTGTCCTTCTCGTTGGCTCAAACTGTGAGGCCAAAGCAGGCTAAGAACACAACTGCCGAGCTTCCTAAACTCATCCCCTGCTGTGTGTGTCTTGAAGGGAGAGCAGACATGGGCAGGGTTTCTGCAGGTCCCTACGACGAGAACGCTGCGCTGGATCCCCATTGCTGGGCCAGGAATCAGAGTTTGTCCCTTTGGCAAAATCTGTAGGTTGTGTCCAAAGCAGGAGACCCTTCAAGCCGTGCCRGAGCACACACAGGGAGTTGTGGGTCCCGTATCCCACGTTCCGCTAGGAAGTGTCTTTGACAGCGACCCGGCTCCCTTCAAAAGCTGCTGCCGGAGCCGAACAGAAACTCCACGCTGAGCATCTTTGCAGGAACGTTTCTCAGCCACTTCACAGATAAAGTCCTTAGGCTCTCARGAGGAAGAAGGAATGCATTTTAGCTGACAACGAGTGCTTTTAAAACCTGCTCTCTGCTTCTCTCCCCAGAGAGGCGCCGCGCGAGGAGCGGCGCGCGGGGCCCTGCGGTGCTGCGGTGCCCAGGCCCCTCAGCAGCCCCGCGCCCAGGGGCGCCCTGAAAACCAGCAACCTGCCCGAGGAGCTGCGTAAGTGCCGGGGGGCTGCGGGGGGCTGCAGGGCGCTGCAGGGTGCTGCATAGTGTTGCATGGTGCTGCAGGGCTCTGCAGGG